TAGTCTTTGAGCTTACCACTGCCCCGAATGTGTCCAGGATCATGAGAAACATGTCTAATGTTCTCACTGGAAACCTAACGTCACAAAGCATGATGGCTGAGTGGTGTAGGGCGTGGAGAGTTAAGCTACCATCCTGGGAGGCTGTATAGATGACTCGATTTCAAAACCCTGAATATTCGCAGTATGTTCAGTGCTTTAAATTACTTATTTCCATGGATGCATTGTTTCGTGAATTGCTAGAAAGTATAATGTCCAAATGGGAGGAAAATTTCATTAGTGTTTGAACTTAAAACACCCTCGAATGTGCATAGCGTTAAGGAAGACTGTCTAATTTGCTCACTGGACACCTAACGGCTTGTGGCATGGTAACGTAGTGATCTGTGGCATGGAGAAGGTGTAAGAACATGTTCACTCTGATTTTTCCACACACACATACACAAACACAAACCTAGCAGCAACTAGTAAAGAGACGGAACCAGGAGCTAGGACTGGACCCCTGCAACCACAATTAGGTGAATAAACACATACAGACACACACACACACACACACACACACACACACCACACACACACACACACACACACACACACACACACACACACACACACACACACACATATATATAAATGTCGTGCCGAATAGGCAGAACTTGCGATCTTGGCTTAAATAGCAACGCTCATCCTGCCATATAAGACAAGCGAAAATTTGTGTATGCAATAATTTCGCAAAAATCATCCTGAACCTAACGAAAAAAAAAATATTTCATTGTTCTTGTTTATTATTAAATTACTGTAAAAGTATCCAAAATATATTTAGTTGGATTAGGCTAAAATAAATTGCGCTTGTTATAATAAGGTTAGGTAAGTTTTCTAAGATTCTTTTGGTGCAAAATCATAATTTTTTTATATTAACATTAATGAAAAAATATGTCTTTAAACGTATAAGAGAGAATTTTAGAAAGGACTTAATTTTAAATGAGTTCTTGCTAATTGACCAGTTTTACCTATTGGGCACGACACCACACACACACACACACACACACACACATATATATATACATATATATATATATATATATATATTATATATATATATACATATATATATATATATATATATATATATATAATATATATATATATATATATATATATATATATATATATATATATATATATATACTCGTGCCGAATATGTAAAACTGGTCAGTTAGCAAGAACTCATTTAAAATTAAGTCCTTTCTGAAATTTTCTCTTATACGCTTAAAGATATATTTTTTTCATTAATGTTAATGTAAAAAATTTTAATTTTTCACCAAAAGAAACTTAGAAAACTTACCTAACCTTATTGTAACAAGAGCAATTTATTTTAGCCTAACCCAACTAAATATATTTTAAATTTGTTTACAGTAATTTAATACTAAACAAACACAGTGAAATATATTTTTTTCGTTAGGTTCAGAATGATTTTGGCGAAATTATTGCATACACAAATTTTCACTTGTCCTATATGGCAAGATGAGCGTTGCTATTTATGCCAAGATCGCAAATTCTGCCTATTCGGCACGACATATATATATATATATATATATATATATATATATAATATATATATATATAGAGATATTATCATATGAAATATATCGATAATATATAATATATATAAATATATATATATATATAATATATATATAATATAAATAATATATATATATATATATAAATAGTATATACCAAACTGCGGCAGGCCGGGATTCGACCCTACGAACATTGTGCCGCCTCCAGAGACAACACAATATACGTGTCGCCTTACCACTTGAGCCAACGATCCTACAAAGATCACTCATGCAGCAGAGCTACATGATTTTTCTCGTGATTCGGGGACAATCGTGGCAGTGGTAACTCAAGGATTAATTTCAGCCTCCTACTGTTTGAATACCCACCTCAACAAGCAATCTAATATAGCAATGAAATCACGAAACAAGTGATTTTGAATCATTTACCAAACGGGTCACGAGAAAAATATGTAGCTCTGCTGCATGCGTGATCTTTGTAGGATCGTTGGCTCAAGTGGTAAGGCGACACGTATATTGTGTTCTCTCTGGAGATGGTACAAAATTCGTAAGGTCGAATCCTGGCCTGAAGCAGTTTGGTAAATGATTCAAAATCCCTTGTTTCGTGATTTCATTGATATTATATATATATATATATATATATATATATATATATATATATATATATATTATATATATATATATATATATATATATATATATATATATATATATATATTGTAACCACGAAAGAGTCGTACTTAATCAATAGCAACACTATGACTAGCTGGGGGATCGAACCCGTGTTATTTTAGCCCGCCTCATGGTGAGCGAAAATTCACGATGCTCTAACCTACTGGATCATCCAATCCTATAAAGATCATGCACCCAGCAGAGCAAGGTGTTGTACCGTGATCCGAGAACATACGATGATGTGCGTGCCTCAGAGCTAATTTCATTCTACTCCCTGTTTGGGAGTAGAACGAACGAGTGGTATTTAATCAGTAACACTGCGACTAGCCATCGGATGGAACCCGTGTTGTTTTACCCCTCCTCATCTGCTGGGTGCGTGATCTTTGTAGGATTGGATGGTCCAGTGGATTAGAGAGTCGTGAATTCTCGCTTACCATGAGGCGGGCTGGAACACACGGTTTCGATCCCCCGGCTAGTTGCAGTGTTGTTATTGATTAAATACCACTCGCTCGTGGTTACAATACTATATATACTTCTTGTGGAGGCTAGTACACCAAACAGGGAGTAGCATGAAATTATCTCTGAGGCACCCACACCATCGTATGTCCTCAGATCACGGTACACCACCTAGCTCTGCTGGGTGATTGATTCTTGTAGGATTGAGTAGTTCATGTGATTTTCTCTCACCATGAACGCCAAGTCGAGTCGAGTCCTCAGCCAGTCAAAGTGTTGTTATTGATTAAATACTACTCGTTCATGATTACAATAATAGATATTCTGCATGTGGAAGCTAGTACACCAAGCTATTTAATTAATCAAGGAAATGATTTATATCTACATTCTTATTCATAAGACACAAAAATCATTTCCTTGTTAAATTAAATAGCTTTGCCCATTCTATAAACTTTATTGTTGAATTTGAGAAAGATAACTCATTGCCTTTTCTAGATGTTTTAATTATTAAGGGTAAAAATGAATTCAAATTTAAAATTTACAGAAAACCTACAAATAGCTGTTCCTATGTACACTATTATTCTTCACATCAAGATAGTGTTAAACTGTCTGTTTTCTCATCAATGTTTTTGAGGGCTTTACGTATTTGTAGTCCAGAGTTCATAGATGAAGAAATATCCAAAATTTATGAAAAAGCTAATGATCTGAAATACCCAAGAAACGTAATTGATAAATCTTTTAAAATTGCTAGAAATACTTTTTACACTCCTAAAAGAGACAATCAACCTTATTCAACTAAAAATATGTTGGTTCTCCCTTACCATGAAAACTTGGTTGATATGCCTTCTCTTCTTAAGAATTTTAGTATCAAAGTTGTATTTAAAAATCTTGATGCAGTAAAAAAAACTGTTGATAAAGAATTCCCCCCAAAATGCTGACGGATGTGTCTATAAGATTCCTTGTAAAATTTGCGATAAAGTTTATTACGGTCAAACTGGTAAAAATATCGAACTAAAATTAAAACAACATAATATTGCATTAGAACTGGACAGGATTCCAATGCTCTATTTATTCAGGTGAGAGATTTTAAGTATCCAATTGATTTTCAAAAAGTTGAGAAAGTTGTATCTAGCAAGTCCACGGTTGACAGGAATATAATTGAATCTTGTTTCATAAAAAGCAGTTTTGAAAATAATATTAATATTTCCTTTGGTTTATATAAATTAAATCCATTTATAATTAACAGAATTTGGGAAGGATTTAATAATACAATGGACAAAAAATAAATTTTAATTCTTCGGTAGAATATTTTGTTAGTGGGATGTCGTGAAGGACCTATCTAGTAAGTAAGTAAGTAAGTAAGTTTATTCAGGTATACACAAATACAGTTACATAGAATTATCATACATAGCAGCATATGTGTAGAGAACCTAGGATAACCCAAAAAAGTTGGGCCAGCGGGCCTGCTGCAGTGTTCCTCCTCTCTTATGAGTCGGGTGTCGTCCCACGTCAGTTGTTACTTTGTCGTGGAATGTGATTGTGAGGTGTGGTCTAGACCATTTATAGGCCTTCCTTTGATTTATTGTCTTTATAGACGGGTCATCGTAAGATTGAGACCCGTGCCAGGACTTCGGGCTTGGTTAACATTATACATACATATTGTCTTTATAGTTCCTTGATAATGTGAGAAGTCACGAAGGCACTTGGAATTTCACTATCCTTTCACAGTGGTTGTTTTGCATATTCTGATATCACCTGTTTACAGTGATTTTATATATATATATATTTTATATATATATATATATATATATATATATATATTATGTGTGTGTGTGTGTGTGTGTGTGTGTGTGTGTGTGTGTGTTTTGTGTGTGTGTGTGTGTGTGTGTGTGTGTGTGTGTGTGTGTGTGTTGTGTGTGGTGTGTGTGTGTGTATGTGTGTGTGTGGGGAGGACTAATTTAAACACCATCTTAGCGAGCACCAAATTACTTTATTATGTTATCATACTTGTCAGCAACATGGTATTCTTGAGAGTATCAGCGCTCGTGAAAAAAGAGCTAAACATCTGAAAAAAAAATGTTGTTCTCACAAAACATGACAAAAAATCTCTGAGAAACTTAAAACACTATTGTGTAACAATTGCCAACATCACTGAATTTAATGTAGTGAAACTTTTTTCTAAAAAAAATTATTGTTACCCAAAACGCAGGAAAAAGTTATGAAAACAATAGCAGTTTTATAATTTTTTATTATGGTTTAAAAAGATTATCTGTAAAACTCACTACTATAAATGCTAAGTGAGTTTCTAAGAACAAGTCATAAGTAATGGGCACCTAGTGTTTTATAGCAACTGAGGACCATAAGGCATCACAGTCGTCTCTCAGCTACAGCCAAGTCAAGACGATGTTGCAGCCAGTAAAGGCCTCAGTAAGTATTTTTTTTTTTTGCCGGGATATAATTTATGTTAAGTGATGACAATAATTGAACAACTCTTAAGAGATTGTTAAACTCATTAACTTTTGTGGGAAACGTGAGTTTTTGCTACTTCTATAAGACTAATTTTTAGCTCGTAATAAAAAATATTTTCTGTCGTAGAATTTATTTTAAATTATGGGGTGTGGCACTCTTGAGAAACAATACATCAGTGTGTCGCTTGAAAAAATCATGCAATCAGTTAAAAGTGATCAGTAAACATTCTCATTTCGAGCATAAAATACCATTTTGGAAATAGTCAAATTACTCAGTAAATTCAAGGTTTAGGTATGATCGAGAAATTCAGTTTAATTCCACAATTTCTTTCACAAATTCAATTTATACGTTAATGCTTTTTTCCATTCTCATCTCATCATAAAACCCAATCTAAAGATAACTACCATCCCTTAGCAGTCCTCCCATGATAGTTGACTAACATATAATGAGTAGTGAAGGGTGTGCACGAAGACTTGTGTATGCCTATTTCCCATAAGTAAGCCCTGGTCATGCTTATGCTTCTTATTATGTTCATCAGCCGTATACTGACAATAAACAGGAAATGAGTCAAACCTAAATGAACAGTATGAGTCGGTGTTCAGCAACCCACTAAATGACACCAAGGTAGAGAATGCAGTAACATTTCTCGCTTCAGCAGAAGGCCGCGCAGACCAGCTAACTGACATTAGTACAAATCACACAGATTTCGAAAAAGAAATGGATAACATGGCCACTCATTCAGCACCTGGACCAGATTCATGGAATGCTCTGTTTATAAAGAAGTGCAAAGTACCACTAGCACGTGCTCCTCAGCATTCTTTGGAGAATGAGCCTAGATCTTAATTTAAGGATTGTGTGCTCCCGTGGATTAAGGCGTCGTGAGTTTTCATCCACCATGAGGCAGGCCAGACCAGCATGGTCTGGTCTGCAGTCACAGTGTTAGTCACAGTGTTGTTATATATATATATATATATATATATATATATATATATATATATATGTATATATATATCTATATATATATATAATATATAATTTATAATATTATATTTATATATATATATTTATATATATATTATATATATAATATTATATTATATATATATATATATATTACTATATATTATATATATTATATATTATATATATATATATATATATATAGATATATATATATATATATTATATATATATATTTATATATATATATATATATATATATATATATATTATATATATATTATAATATATATTTATATATAGTATATATATATATATATATATATATATATATATATATATATATATATATATATATAAATATATATATTAATATATATATATATATATAATATATTATATATATATATATATATATATATATATTATATATATATATATATATATATATATATATATATATAATATATATATTATATAATATATATATATATATATATATAATATAATATATATATATATATATATATATATATATATATATATATATATATATATATATAAATATATATATATATATATATATATTTAATATATATATATATATATATATATATATATTTTTTTTTTTTTTTTTTTTTTTTTTTCAACAAGTCGGCCGTCTCCCACCGAGGCAGGGTGACCCAAAAAAGAACGAAAATCCCCAAAAAGAAAATACTTGCATCATCATCATTCAACACTTTCACCACACACACACATTATCACTGCTTTGCAGAGGTGCTCAGAATACAAACAGTTTAGAAGCATATACGTATAAAGATACACAACATATCCCTCCAAACTGCCAATATCCCAAACCCCTCCTTTAAAGTGCAGGCATTGTACTTCCCATTTCCAGGACTCAAGTCCTACTATGTGAAAATAACCGGTTTCCCTGAATCCCTTCACTAAATATTACCCTGCTCACACTCCAACAGATCGTCAGGTCCCAAATATCATTCGTCTCCATTCACTCCTATCTAACACGCTCATGCACGCTTGCTGGAAGTCCAAGCCCCTCGCCCACAAAACCTCCTTTACCCCCTCTTTCCAACCCTTTCGAGGACGACCCCTACCCCTCTTTCCTTCCCCTATAGATTTATATGCTTTCCATGTCATTCTACTTTGATCCATTCTCTCTAAATGACCAAACCACCTCAACAACCCCTCTTCTGCCCTCTGACTAATGCTTTTATTAACTCTACACCTTCTCCTAATTTCCACACTCCGAATTTTCTACATAATATTTACACCACACATTGCCCTTAAACAGGACATCTCCACTGCCTCCAACCGTCTCCTCGCTGCTGCATTTACCGCCCAAGCTTCACATCCATATAAGAGTGTTGGTACTACTATACTTTCATACATTCCCTTCTTTGCCTCCATAGATAATGTTTTTTGACTCCACATATACCTCAACGCACCACTCACCTTTTTTCCCACATCAATTCTATGATTAACCTCATCCTTCATAAATCCATCCGCCGACACGTCAACTCCCAAGTATCTGAAAACATTCACTTCTTCCATACGCCTCCTCCCCAATTTGATATCCAATTTTTCTTTGTCTAAATCATTTGATACCCTCATCACCTTACTCTTTTCTATGTTCACTTTCAACTTTCTACCTTTACACACATTCTCAAAATCATCCACTAACCTTTGCAATTTTTCTTTAGAATCTCCCATAAGCACAGTATCATCAGCTAAAAGTAACTGTGTCAATTCCCATTTTGAATTTGATTCCCCATAATTTAATTCAACCCCTCTCCCGAACACCCTAGCATTTACTTCTTTTACAGCCCCATCTATAAATATATTAAACAACCATGGTGACATTACACATCCCTGTCTAAGACCTACTTTTACCGGGAAGTATTCTCCCTCTCTTCTACACACCCTAACCTGAGCCTCACTATCCTCATAAAAGCTCTTTACAGCATTTAGTAACTTACCACCTATTCCATATACTTGCAACATCTGCCACATTGCTCCTCTATCCACTCTATCATATTCCTTCTCTAAATCCATAAATGCAATTAAAACTTCCCTACCTTTATCTAAATACTGTTCACATATATGCTTCAATGTAAACACTTGATCTACACATCCCCTACCCACTCTGAAGCCTCCTTGCTCATCCGCAATCTTACATTTTGTCTTACCTCTAATTCTTTCAATTGTAACCCTACCGTATACTTTTCCTGGTATACTCAGTAAACTTATTCCTCTACAATTTTTACAATCTCTTTTGTCCCCCTTCCCTTTATATAAAGGGACTATACATGCTCTCCGCCAATCCCTAGGTACCTTCCCCTCTTTCATACATTTATTAAACAAAAGTACCAACCTCTCCAACAATATATCTCCCCCTGCTTTTAACATTTCTGTCATGATCCCATCAGTTCCAGCTGCTTTACCCCCTTTCATTCTACGTAATGCCTCACGTACCTCCGCCACACTTACATTCTTCACTCCTTCACTCCTAAAAGATAGTATACCTCCCTGGCCAGTGCATGAAATTTCCGCCTCCCTTTTTTCCTCAACATTTAAAAGTTCCTCAAAATATTCTCGCCATCTACCTAATACCTCCATCTCCCCATCTACTAACTCCCCTACTCTGTTTTTAACTCACAAATCCATACTTTCCCTAAGCTTTCTTAACTTGTTTAACTCACTCCAAAATTTTTTCTTATTTTCATTAAAATTTCTTGACAGTGCCTCTCCCACTTTTCCACCCTCCTTTTGCACTTCTAACCACTCTCTTCACCTTTCTTTTACTCTCCATATCTCTGCCTTCTTATAAATTCGCTTTGAAAAAAACCCTGTAAGCTACCTTTTCTCTTTTATCCCCCCTTTACTTATCATTCCAACAATCACCCCCTTTTCCTCCTGCCCCCACCCCCTTAACCACAAACTTCCCCCCATTCAAAATTGCTTTTTTAAAACTATTCCAACCCCTTAACCCCCCCCACTACTCTCTTTGCACACCCCCCTTTCTGCCAATAGTCACTTTATCTCGCCCGAACTTCTTCCTCTCTTAGTTTATACACTTTCACCTCCTCTTACTTGTTTTGCCACCTTCCCTTTTTTCCCCCATCTACCTCTTCCTCAAAACTGTAGCACAACAATAATGATCCGAATTCATTCCCCCTCTAAAAAACATGTACTCCGGGAGCCAACCTATCAACCTTTTATCCCCAATACAAAATTAACAAACACTTTCTTTTACGTGCTCATCTACCTTGTAATTTATTTATCCTCTTTTTCAAAAATATGTATTACTTATTACCAAATTTCTTTCTACACTAGCTAAATTTAAAAAGGGCCCCCCCCTTTTACTTTTCCCCCGGCACCCCAAATTTACCTTACTCCCCCCAAAAAATTTTTTTCCCACTTTGCATTGAAAAACCCCAAACCCCCAATTTTCTCTCACACTTGATTCAAAACTCCCCCCGCATTTACTCAAAATTTACCAGAATCTCTCTCTCTCCCTCTACACTTCTCTCTATCCAGGTTATACACCTTACTATAACCCACTTTTTCACATCCATCTTTATTTTACTCCACATAAACCTTGAATTTAAACTTTGAAGTCTCTTTTTCCCGCATACCTCCTTAACATTATTGCTTCTCCTTCTTTAGCTCAACTCATTTGAACCCCTGACCTAACCCCTTTTATTCCCCTTCCTTTAAACTCTCCTACCCCCTTTAGCTTTTTTTCACTTAAGGCCAGGACATCCAGCTTTTCTCATTTATAACATCCACAATCATCTCTTTCTATATTTGTCCCCCACCACGCACATTCAGACTCCCCTTTGACATTTTCT